ATATATATATATATATATATATATATAAGGTTTCATGCGTTACACTTATTTATATATACATATATATATTATATACATACATATATGTACATATATATGACAAATTCTACGGTTGTATTTTTCACGGGTGTTATCTTGATTGATTTGGCAAATTACATTCTTATGTTAGCTTCCCAGTAGAACCAATAGGATGACGTAAATCGGATTCAATTCAATTCTAGATTACTCCTATATCACAAATCAATCGAGCAATGCATTATTTTATCAATTCATTCCACTGTCATTTATTGATAACAATGTTATCAATTTGGTTTCCTTCACTAAAGTCTTGATCCATTTGTTTCTTATTTGTACTTGAACCGTGTGTAAATATTGCTCTACCAATAATCGACCTTGTTTTGCAAGTGATTAATTATACCCATGCTTGATTGTTAGTACTTGTATTTACAATTGTGTACTGAATGGTCCTCTTTCTATTATTTAACATTTGCAAAGCATCTTGTTGCATTTCAAACGTAATGGCTCGCTATTGTCTCCGATATTATTTGCAAGATGCAAATTATGTCGCATCAGAAGTACATTAATGGACATTTAGGCAATCCCATATTGACCATGTCAATTCAAATTGAAAATTAAACATGCATTTAAGTTTAGTTTAGGCATATGATGAACCTAATGCTCACACGTGTTTGACTCATGTCCATAATCACATCAACATAAATGTATACCGTTAACAAAAGCAAATGTACTAACAATCAGAGGAGTAGGTTCCTTTAAGAAAAGCAAAACAGTGGGTAAAAAGTGTAAAAGATTGCACATACACGATAGAATAATAGAATAGTCTACATATAAAAAGCGTTTGCGATCACATACGCTTCTAAAAAATAGGCCGCAGGTATTACCTCATGGAGACATACATTTTAACATGGAGATATACATATGCATATATATCACAATGATTGACTACTACTAGTACTAGATCCATCTTTAATACAAATTGTTAGATTTAATCTAGAGTTTTAGTAAATTTTAATACCTTTATCAATCATTTCTAATGATTTGGGTGGTTAGAACTTCCTAAATGTAACGTATAATTTAGATCATTCAGAGAGTTTAGATGACGTAATATGTATTAGTAAGAAGCGTTAATAATCCATCAATCCATCCCTCTCTGCAGATATAAACAACTTACGCCGTAGTGTAAGTCGATGTAGTCTAGGTGGTATCAATGAACCCGAACATTTTTTCTTCAAATTTCTTTACGGATTCCGACGTTCATACTATTAAGTTTTATTTTTTTCATATAGAACTGCTACTGCATATATCAAGAGTTGAACACATTTGCTTCTCCGAAGCACAATCTTAATTCTTCACAATGGATGACGTGGATAATACAACTGACTTTTTAACAACTGATATACCAACGATCACAGAAGGAGAAAGCAGAATCGTGAAACATCAGGTTGGTTGGATTGGATTGGACTTATTCGATGTAAACACCAAGGATAGCCAACGAAGTCTAGAAGAAGACTTACTTCCAGTGGGGTCCTTCTAGTGGTGATTTGGCATACACCTGGGGACAATCCTCTACTCTTTTCCGAAGAGCGTAGTGTGTTCTTTAACGTGCACATGAGCCATAAATGCACACGGAACTATAACGGCTTAAACCTCTCATCTGAAAGGCGGTGTGCTATATTGTAACTTGTGTTTCAGCCCTCCAACTGAAACACAAGTTGAGGCAGCGATGGGCGGGGAAACACAAGGAGAGGCAGCGATGGGAATTGAACCGGGGACCAAGAGATCTCCAAGCTTCAGTGCACACACAGTGGCTACCACCAGATTAGCCGACTGAGCTAAGGTGCTCTCATGTCAATATTGCATTGCCGCATATATCAAGAGTTGAACACATTTGCTTCTCCGAAGCACAATCTTAATTCTTCACAATGGATGACGTGGATAATACAACTGACTTTTTAACAACTGATATACCAACGATCACAGAAGGAGAAAGCAGAATCGTGAAACATCAGGTTGGTTGGATTGGATTGGATTTATTCGGTGTAAACACCAAGGATAGCCCACGAAAGTCTAGAAGAAGACTTACTTCCAGTGGGGTCCTTCTAGTGGTGATTGGGCAGTACACCTGGGGACAATCCTCTACTCTTTTCCGAAGAGCGTAGTTCTTTAACGTGCACATGAGCCATAAATGCACACGGAACTATAACGGCTTAAACCTCTCATCTGAAAGGCGGTGGGCTATATTGTAACTTGTGTTTCAGCCCTCCAACTGAAACACAAGGTGAGGCAGCGATGGGCGGGGAAACACAAGGAGAGGCAGCGATGGGAATTGAACCGGGGACCAAGAGATCTCCAAGGTTCAGTGCACACACAGTGGCTACCACCAGATTAGCCGACTGAGCTAAGGTGCTCTCATGTCAATATTGCATTGCCAATATAATAATAATAATAATAATAATAATAATAATAATAATAATAATAATAATAATAATAATAATAATAATAATAATAATAATAATAATAAAGACATTAGCCAATTTTCAGTAGGAAATATTTGACACCAAGTAAAGGAAGTTGGTAGTCAGACTTCAAATGTGAATTAAAATGCATCGTATCAAAAATATAAACCATGAAATTGTTCCTATCTGAACTTTGGAAATAAAATTACGTGTTCAAATCATAAAATATCAATAAGATTATACCAAAATCAAGAGAAAACATTTAGCGAGGGGCAACTGATCTTCAATTAAATAATTTAATCAGCAAACCTTCTCATTCAGCCGTAAACTTCTATTCGAATACATAGAGATAGAATGCACACTGTAATACTAGATCAATATAAACTGAAGTTCCTGTGAGGCGTGGTGCAGTGGCGTCTCTAGGATATATTCTCTGCGGGGAGTGTGGGGGGGGGGTTAAACTGTACGACAGGGTGGATTTGAGCTCGTAGGCCCGGCCTGGAGGAAGGGGTTGAGAGGGGGTTTCCCCTTCCAAATGAATTTTTTTTAAGAATAGCAACCTCGGGATGGCACCCACAGACTGACAGGCATGTATTGGCTTGGTGTTGGCCTATTTTTTATGTTTTATAGTCTAACTACCCGACGAGCTCTGTCCGACGGGGTGGGGGCTTGACTTTTCCGGTGGGTGGACATAAGCCCCCCTTTCTCCACGCTGGCGCCGCCACTGGCTTGGTGACTGGACTTCTTTTACTCTTCATAAAAATAAATTAATGGTTTTTGCAAGATTTTAAATCTACCTGAAACCGTCATCTAAATCCATGTCCAGACTATCAAATTTTAATGACAAAAATCTATCGTTGCCCATATATAGCCTAGATGTGCCTATAAATGGTCATGATGACAAGGCACGTCTTTGTTCAATAAAATGTTATAGTTTGGACAGGGCGCTACATTGTATTTTATTTCATTCTAATCAAAGTAGAAGTACTATTGAGCCTTTATTATGATTATTGTTTATTATTTCAAGGGGAAATATATGCGAACAATTGTTTGCCAGAAATAAATTTTAAAGTTGTCGCGTCGGGTCTGTGTGAGTTGAACGCAGACGCGATGGTGTGCGTCAGGGGCAGTCGCGTAGTAGAATATTAAACGTGTTTAATATTTCTCGCGACGGCTTAAGACTGTCCCCGACGATAAATCGGGTCGGGCTGCGTCGGCCGACGCTGTCTGAGTTGGCCTTAAGACAAAACGCAATGGCAAATCTTAATTTTGGTAACCTTAATCAATATCGGCCTTAGGCTATTCAACGCTATTTACAGTAACATTTATCAAGTTCTTCTATGGCTGTGTATCGATATTTTACACTCTCTCATATTCCTGCACTAATGAGAATAGAATAATAACACACTCAAATCCGTCTACATCCGGGGGACTAGAGATATGATGCGGATTCAACAAAACAAATCGGTTGGCGTATTATTTGTGAACATGATTGAGTAAGTTCTTAATGTTTACGTCGGCAAACAAAGCTGAATCCACCAACAAAATAATCTCGCATAGTCCACATAATGTTACTGTTTTTATTCCGATTAATGACTTTTGGTCTGACCCTAAATATTACATGTTCCGTAACTTAGATAAGTCAATATATAATACCGGGAATCTAACTATATAATATTCAAATAATATGCACTTGTTGTTTCAAGGATATACAATTGATTGTGCTCTGGACTCTGTTTGTATCGATTCTGATCGGCAATGGTGCGGTCTTACTCGCCCTCTATACTGTCCGACACAAGAAATCGCGGATGAATTTCTTTGTGATGAATTTAGCGTTATCTGGTGAGTAGAAACTATAATTATTTATTGTAATAAAAAATACATTTATTTTGTAAAATAAATAATCACAGCCCTCTATACGTGTAATATAGTCTGTGATATAGTTAAGAACCATTAGAAAACAGACTACAGAATTTAGTTTTATTATACAATTTCTAAAGGTTTTTTATGCTTTTTTTTCAAATTTCTATAGGATTCGTAAAACTTAGAATTTCGATAGATTTCCGATGAATTGTTTAGAAACTTTTTGAAATTTTTTTTAGTTGATAGGAATATTTAATTTAAAAAAAACCCATGATTTCTATAATCCTTAGGACATATTATGACAAAAATCCAAAATTAGGGATTGTAGCAAAATATCCCTTAAGATAGATTTAAAAATGAGAAGGAAGTCGAAGCTATTAAGTAAAGCTATTAAGTTATGGTATACTTTCGTGATTTCTTTACTGCCCAAGATGAACTGTCAGCTATAGATGATGAATAGTATTATATATGAATTTAAGCTTGCATGGAATGCTCCAATAATCCCTCTTCCAGATTCATTTTCAACATTATCACTGTCACCATCATTCTTTACGCTCCTCGTTTTCCAACATCACGCTACTCACCCCCGTTTTCCAAAATGCTCTATCAGAGCGTTTTCCAATTTGATTCTTGAATTTACATAATTTTACTTTTTTATCATTTTTTTCGCTCGTGGCCTTTTTAAACTCATTCATTTTCTTTTAGGGCTGTTTTTGTTGGAGTTACCTTAATAGGTAGTCTAACCAAAGAGCAATCAATTATTATGACATGGTCTAATCAGATGGTCATACCAGTTAAGCCTTCTTTAATTTTACGACTCAATATTTCTTGTTTTGATTTTATGAAGCACATTGCTTATTTAGCAATATACAACTGATATGTTTTTATTTTGTCATTAATGTCTAACAAAAAACATATATGGTCAGGTAACACTACTGCATTAATACTGTCTTTGCTGTTGCCATTTATGTATTTACTTAAGTGAACCCACTAAAACCAGCGATTTCCATACGGAAAGTGTGAACACAATATCCATAGTACCTTCTTCAGAATAATACTAAACCTCGATTATACATAGGCCTAATACTATCATTTATTGTAATTCACATTATTACCCCGGTAATTCGAACAAGTAATGCCCATAGAATACCTCTCACTTGGGAAGTATGCCTATTCCATGGTGCACCTTAATCACCACATGGCACTCCAACCAAGTATTAACTTATACTCCATGATTAGGACACTTAATGTGGGCAGAGGGAAAATCTAACCCCTGACCTAGCTTGAAGGGTAAAAACAGAATCGCAACAGGTGTCCCAATTGCTCCCAATATGACTTATAAGCACAATCACATCTTAATGAATTTTGTATACAATTATTGAGCCATAAGGACCAGTGGCTGATTCAAGGAGACTTGCCGGCCCGCACCCCGCTTTAATTTTTGTTCAATAAAAAATATGAAAAAATTGAGAAAAATGGAAAAATTATAATCTAGGTCTGAGATTGCCATTTCCGGCCATTTAGAGGTGTCATAATCATAAATTTTCTTACCTCAGCCCCAACCATGGTGGGGCTGAGGTGGTCTAAACTCCCTATATGCGAGACTCCCGGCCTGGACCACTTAGGACGGCGTACTATTGATAGTCAATCAGTCAATCAATCTTTATTCGTTGGCATAATCAACTATAGATATTTGACTTTCTTGCTGGTTTCTTCCCTGTAGTGCAATCTTTGATGGTCATTCCTTATTTCCGATTTACTAAAACATAATTTTTTATTAGGCCTATAACAGTAATAATAATAATTAAGGAAATCTTTATCATCAGTTGTTGAGTAGTAAATACAAGTAAATATGAGTTGTACTTTAGTTACTTACAATGAATTTCATATTACGTGGTTTCGCCTATTTGATTTGCTTCAAATGGTGTAGCCATCATCACCATCACCATCCTTATCAACATCACCACCACCACCATCATCATAAACATAATACAATCATAGTCCTACAGTACATGGGAATAAGAGGAGTACATTTTCAATTTAGTATTCAGTGGTTTAACATATTATATTATTTTAATTCATCTTAATCAACATAGATATCCTTGTTGGAATATTTGAGGTTTTGGTGCAGTTAATTCATAGAGGTTACACACGGACATGGAGGACCGGCAACATCGCTTGCAAAATCATCAAGTATTTCCAGGTATTCGAAGGTTACACTGTACCATTACGAAAATTGGCGCCCTCATAAGCTGACGTCACAATTCATATCTTAGTTGATCTATTTGTCTTATTTAAAAATTAATTTCTAGTCTGATTTCCTGTGCCAGTTGAAAACATTGCGCACTTTCATCTTTGTTATACAGATAAATGCGGGCTAAAATTAATTATATGACGTCACCTCATGAATGAGCTAGTTACAATAATTATTGCTTTTTTTTATGATTTTTTATTATAAAATTTAGTGGTGTTTGTGTTCTCATGAAGCTCCATTGCGATATAAACACAAATATATGACGAACTAGATTTGCTGATATTGGCTGGAGAATTTATAAATATTATCAATAATTGTTTTGTGACACATCGGTTTCTGTCTTCACGAGAGAGCTCTCATGGGCTTTTGAATATGAAATGGACAAACATTGAATGTCAAAAACGTTTATGCATTATAAGTAATTTACCATTAGTCCTAACTGCTCCAGAGGGAAAGACAACAACAATTATATATTTTATTTAAATATTAAAAGAATGATTCTTTCTAAATACAACGAAAGTGTTTAATCATAAAAGCTGAAAAAATCATCCTCGATGTTCTTAGACCTTTTAAATTATTCAAGCTGATCTGTATTGATTTTGTTTTTCGACATCGTGAACGCTATTCTGGTGTGTTCTATTGGTAAACCTAAAACAATAAACTCCCAGCATTTAGCAGTCATTTTTAAGTTTAACTATCATTTTTGTTTCTAAAACAACGCTTTTATAAAGTCATGTTCCTTATTTTATAGCGTCAATGTTTCAGTGCAGCCTGTCTTTGAAACCCCGGTCAATCGCGTCTTGTATTGTTAAAAGTAATAAAACATCTTGTAGCTTCGAGTGTACATGTTGATGTCAAAGGTCAAAACATATAAAAAAAAAACCATACAGTGTAGGTCTTATTTAGTGTTTGTTACCGTACATTATTTAGACTGTAATCCTGAAAGTAATAATACTGTGTAGTTAGTATTTATTTTGCCTTGAAATTCGACATAATCATATGCATTATAAACTTCAAGAAGGCTATATAGTTTTACAGAAGCTTTTTATGTGATTTTGCTAGTTTTATTTTGTTCAAGGTTACAATTGCTATGATACTATGATACGCCTCTTATCTTCTTGTGTTTAAAGTACTGAACAATTCTTCAGCTTATTTAAATTGCGCCTTTAATATTATGTATTTTTTCCTTATTCACCTTGGGAATTAGCATACGGACACAAACATGTTCCTTAGACCAAACCAATTTTTACTTTACTTAATGCCATAGCAAGGTATAAAGTAAATGAAATACGGTAATGCTTTTAAACAGCGTGTCATTCGGAACCTCTTACGTTTGTGGGGATTTGTTCACTTGTAGTTTATAGATCGACTCAAAATTACTACAACTTTAATGTTTGTTGAGGGAGGCATAATCAAGTGTGCTTCGTCATTATTGAGATTTTTTTTAATTTGTTTTAATTCATCTATGAAAGCTCTGCAATGTACAGTATCTAAATATTACTCATATCCAATATCGAAGTGAGAATAATTGTTTCGTATGTGAGTGACGTCATTTAATTCTCTGCTAGAATTTTAACTGCAAATTGTGTTATTCTGTCTTATTTTACTGCTTTATACATTTATTTTATAAAATGGTATATTCATTATTATGTTAATAATCAGAATTCACTATGAACAATTTATAGTCAATTTATTTATAGTCAGTCCTGGAGGTAATATTACCGTATGTAGATATTCCATCGTTATTTGTTATGATTCTTTAGTTATTTGGAGTGGGATGAGAAGATAGGATATGTAAGATAAGATACGAAAATACAAAAAAAAAAGGGAAAAAAATCTTTCTCACTGGATAGAACAAATTAAGAGTTCTAATCATCAAATATTATATAATGTGCATTTACAAAATATTTCATAGTTACATTAGTGGCGAACACCACAAATAAAAACCAGAAAACTACCAAAACACACACATCGAAATTGAAATTATAACCTAAATGTGCACACATGAAACAGATAACATCATTACAAAATTGCCAAAAATCATAAAACTAATTATTTGCAAAAACTCTAAGACAATCATAGAATCAAATTTTGTGCGAAGCATTTGCAACAAATGAGAATTTACTTTTTAATGCAGCAGCGAATGGCGCCCTCAATCATCCCGGCATGTTTCATCTACTGTACAGTATGCGGTGGTGAAACTTTAAAATCCTCAAAACCCCTCAAATACTTAATATAAAATATAAAATTACTCGTTTAAAAGAATAAATACATAAATTTCCAATAAGACACATCATTATGTTTTTAAAATTTCTACACTCTAGCAAAAATATGTAAGAAGCTGATTGTAAATGTAATTTCGGTATTTGATTTCACGTAGTCGATTGTTTATTTGCATGCTCTTTTGTTATTGATTATTTTCTTTTTTCTTTCTTGTCCCGTCTAAACATTAAGGAAATTAAGGAAAATTAATTATCAAAATATTTTCAATTACTGCCCTGAAAAAAAAAACAAGCATGAAATATAAATATTAGAATAAAAAAATAAATATAAAAAGATAATGAAAGTTAAAAAGCAAAAAAAACCCCACTTCATTCTTGTCAATTGCAATGACTGCATCATGAATTTGAAAAATATTTATTACTAAACTCTATTGTTGTCTCTTCCTTGCTATCTATGATAGGCCGGATCTGTGGCTACTTCATCGTTTCAACTGGTCGCACTAAGTGTGGATAGGTATCAAGCAATTATATATCCTATGAACTTTTCCGGAAGAAGTAAGTGACTAACAATAAGCTGGAAATACCTGTATATAAGAAACTTCTTCCCCCCACGAATTCTGTCATAATCATGACATGGCATTATTAATATTGTTTTGTAAGTCATAAAATTGATTGATTGATTGATTGATTGATTGACTGACTGTGAAAAGGTTAATGAAATGGGAAACTATAAGCATAATATTTTTAAAATTCCATTATTTAAATGGAAGAAATTACAATACCCTATTAATATCTGTTTATTTGAATGTTTCAATATGTAACGTGTTGAAGTTTTGTATGTGAAATACTTAAAATGAATACAGAAAAACTAAGCAGTCACTCCTTTAAATCGCCGAATCCTTTGGCGACGCTGATTGGTCACTTGAATCAAGAAGCGTTCCCGATTGCGTTGGGTACAGCTGCTACGATTGCAAGGATTGCAGTGAAAAAAAATGTAGGCACTGTGTAGCGATTCTATGGAAGCCAGGCTTTATTATTGATTGATTGGGAATCGAATTGCGATTCCCAATCAATCAATAATAATCCCAATGCGAGATTGATTGCGATTCGAATGGCCGAGCGATTAGCAGGGGCGCCGCAAGCTATAGCCATACTATCGGCGCTGGTTCGAACGGCACTCCCGCCTATGGTTCTGGTGGTAGAACAAATCTTCTCGGATAAGGACTATAAACCGTAGGCCCAGTGTATACAGTGGCTCGTGTGCACTATAAAGAACCCAGTACATCCTTCGAAGGGGGATACCCCGGTGTACTGGAACAGACAGCCCCTGGGTTGACGACGAGAGTTGCTGTTGCCGGGTTACCAGGTAGCACATGACAGGAACCTTAGGGGTGAAGAAAGTAATTGATCGAGTCCCTAGTCCACATATCAAGTGCCCTGAGAATCTTACATTTGATGGATACTGTATGTGCGCTATATAAATAAAACTACACTATTCATCATACAAGATGTGTATAAGAGACAGGGTTTGAACGAAGTTCAAGGTTAATTAAAACAAATAGTTGTTTAATGTCCCACGTAAGGGACTTGTGATATATTACAGTAATTATTTTTTTTTTTTAATTTGAGCTCATGGCTTTTCTGACTGTGTCAACTGTAGACCACAATTGTTAAAATTTACACGATGCTGGATTTATAAGCAAGCAATTAGCTAATAGATGATTATAGCCAATACGGAGGTTATTTACCAAAAATTACAAGTAAAAGAAATGTATGAAAACTACAAATTTTAATAGGAAGTAAATCATAACCTTGCAAAGGATTTTCAGTGATTTACAGTTCTGTTGTTCTGTTTACGAAATTGGAAATTACGAATTGAATTGAAAGAAAAATAAATTGAAAAATAACAAGTTAATTTAAAGATAGTTTAACATTTTGTTAAATTACGTAGATAATTACAACGCTGATGCACAGGCGACTTATGTGTAGCGAAGACGCTTGACTCTGTTATCAACAAGTATTGAAAGATAAATTAGGTGATGTAAATAATAATCAAATGTGAATAATACAGATTCAGATTCGTTTTACTTGTCCTTGCGGAAATCCATTTGAAAAAAAAAACCCATACATTTCCTTACTTCATATTAAACATATAGTAAGAACCAAGTTGAGATTCATATCATTTGTATTAATAACTGAAAATACATGGTAAATGTGAGAGTTGTAAAGAATATGTTCGAGCTGGCATTACAATTTTATTAACTAGATACAGTATTGCCTTTTAATTGTTTTGTATTGATGTTTTTCTCGAGATACATAAAATATTTCGACGTTCTGATTTTTTTTTCAACTTTAGTTATAGAAATGAACGGGTTTTTAATTTTCGTTTTTTCAATATTTTTCTTTAGAAGGAAATTATGACAATTTAAAGACTGATGAAAGTCGTTCGCATCGTGCAAGCTCCAGAGGTCTTATTCCCAAGGCCAAGATTAAAACTATTTACATAACATTGAGTATTGTAATAGGTAAGTTATTTTTTTCATTCATGTATATATAAAGCCCTGAGCTCCGTTGGATTGATCAAATGAACCAAACATTTATTTACTCTTCGCTATTACAAATTGCTGACATCGTAAATATTGATAGATTAACTTAGGAAAATAGGTAAATAATTAATATCGACGTCTAATGCTAATGGGTACAATAATTACCAACCATCCAATAATAATAATAATAACGCGCTAGTGCATATTTTTTAATAGCTGCCATTTTAGGTATTATTATTCCAAGTCACTGGATCAAACACATACGAAACGCATGTCACCCCTCTGGGTAGCACCATCCCATAAAGAGCTGCTAGAATCAGCCCTCTCGGTATTGGATTCTATCGAGTACCCACTTTTAGGCCCTACTCCTAGGTGGGAAAGGGATAATGTTAATAATTTTCTTTCCTATTGACAAAAGCGTTCAGCGAGAGTCTCGAAATGTCGAATATCAATCGCTGCGCCAAAATGATCCCCACCTCCAAATCGGTTTCTGAATGACTTGGTACTCACGACATTTTATTATGTCAGTGTAAATGAATGAAGCCTATTTGAAATAATTCTTATATAGCATGCAATATAAATCATTTCGAAATATATCTTTTTAATAGCTTTCGTTGTGTGCTGGAGTCCGTTTTGCTTCTACTATTTATTGACGGGTTTCGATGTGATTGGACACCATGCCAAAGCGGCAGCAGTTATCGCTAATTTGCCAGCAATAAACAGCGCTGTCAACCCACTAATCTATGGAATATTCAGTACCAATTTATGCAGGGAGTTGAAGTAAGTATGCATGAACATAACAGGGACAAACTTAGCCACCGTCTTTAAAATGTGTTTCCTTTTTTGTCAAAATACCAATGAAAGCATGTGCATTTCATTATCCAATCGGAAGATTTATGTTCGAATCTAATGCTGCGTTCCAGTACACCTGGACCCCATTATCGTCCGACGAACGACTAAAAATTAAAAAAATAATAATAATTTGTCTATCTAAATAACGCTATTTTGATTGGCAATCCCAAATATTGTGGTCTAAAAGCACATTTAGGACCGAATTAAGCCATAAAAACTCTCCCCATAAACCTAACAGGGATATTTTATTCCGTGTCGTCGACCCCTCCGCCGGACACGTCGGAACCCTTATCGGCACATTTCTGGCGCCACCGCTGGGGCCCCCACGTCGGGGAGAAAATCCACAATTCGTCAGGGAGGGAAAAAAAATATTAGTAGGCTTTCTACATTATTAGTAGGCTCTTGTCATATTGTTTTGGGGCTTCGCCACCTGGAACACTTTCGAGAGATTTTGAGCGACGCCCGACCACTTTTTTCCGTCGGGGACATTGGCCACCCCGTCGAGAACATCGGACCCCCCGTCGGGAAAATCCTGGCGGCACTCCTGCAGTGCACCCGTGATCAACGTGAATACAACCCGTAAAAAACGGTATACAGTAATAACAATATGACATGCGTTCCAATGTAAATGAAAATGCGCATGCTCAAATATTGTTACACGTACACTAAATTCAGATGCTCGATAAATTCATAATGTGCGGTCTGGTAATTTCATTCCTACTCACTAAATTTACGAACCATATGTATTTTATAATATTTAATCAACCTATATTGGTTTAAAAGTGTAAAATACATTTGGAAATTTTTTTTTATTGCATTAATGTATATAGACCTATACCGGAAGGCGTCATGCTATTTGTGCATTAAACAAAACATCTGAATTCAGTATAGGCTTTAAATGAGTTTTCATGACATCATATTCAAAATGTTGCTTTAAAATTCCTACTTAAGGTTTCTGCAGTCGTTTACAACATTTCCAAACCAAAATTTAATAATCCAATCAATTGTGTCTTTGTATCATGTAATAAAAATAGATTTGTGCATTGTTTCAGCCATTTTTTCAAGATTATGAATTATGTCTTTCTATATCTCAATAAACTATATACGTTTCTATACGATTCCATTAGCATAGATATCCGTGACATCGGATCAAGTTAAAAGATGGTTTCTGAATAACATTGTTTTCTGGATTTAATTTGAATTTTTTTCAACATGCCGTTTATCAACATTTTCTATTTTTTGGTTTCCACCTCTCGGATGACGAGCTTATTATTTTCTAAAATTTGCCATCATCACCAACATTATCATGATAATCATTCGTAATTGTCATTATCCTTAATATTATTACTAGACATTACCTTACTAAATTTCGAATCAACATGATTAAATCGAATTGAATCGAGAATAAATTTAAGTTATTCTTTAACATTGATTTCGTAATTGTCATTATCTTAAATATTATTACTAGACATAACCTTACTAAACTTTCGAATCAACCTGATTAAATCGAATTGAATCGAGAATAAATTTAAGTTATTTTTTAACATTGTTTTCTTGGGCAAAAGTAATTCATTAAATACTTAATGGAGATGAACAAAGTGGCCTCTCTGATTAAAGGACTTAGGGAATGACTTAAACCCAGGAGCCTGGAATTTTTAGCCAGCATCTTAAATATGCCACTCTCTGTGTGAGAAATTACAATAATTACTTTATGCATTTTAATAAGTTATTAGCGTATAATTGGAAAAACAAGAAATATTGTCTTTACCAATTAACAAAAGCAAAATATTACCGTTTCCATATGAATAGACCTTTAAATTGGCTGGTTATCAAATTACGGCTTTTTAATAGTAAGGAAACTATAAATTAGCGTAAACTATTTTGCTTCTATCCAGGGAACAGGTAATTTAACTGTTCCCTGCTTCTATCTGTGAAGATTCAATATTTTAATTGTATTTTTGTTTAAAATTTAAATTACAGACAGCTTAT